TGAGTTCGGCATTGGATGCAACCAGGTCTTCCTTGGTGATGTTTCGGGAGGTGTGAGACATGTTTTGAACTAGGAAGTGAAAGAGTGAAGGTAGGCCAATAGCTAGGATGAAGGAAATGGGGCGGGAATGTTTTGGACGAAATGAGGATGAAGGAAATGAGAAAGAGTGGAAGTGTGTTCTTGGTCCTTTGGGATCTGGGAACAACAAGCTCTGAAACCAGATGTTATACCCGAACCCGGGGTCTTATCATGTATATAATTTGAGGGCGGGATTACAGAGGAATTGGTAGCAAACTAGAACAGCCTTTAAGCTTCAGGAATGCCAGATAGTCGATTGTCACAATTGTGATAATCGATTATTGGTTGTTTGGTTGAACTTCAGGAATGCCAGATAGTCAAAGACGCGTTCACCCGTCTCTAACCATTCGATAAATACATCGGGGTCGTCCTTGCCATCAAAGGTTGGGATTTCAACCTTGAAACTAACAGAGGACTTCTCTTGGTTGTCCTTTCGTATGGAAGAGGAAGGAGTTTCTGCATGGGCCTCTTCTTCTTGCTCGTCTTCACTTTCCTCGGGTGTCTCCGTCATCATCAACTTCATTTTAGTGAGTTGAGCCACTTGTTTGGCCAAATACTCAACTTGAGCTTTGAGTTCGGCATTGGATGACCCCAGGTCTTCTTTGGTGATGTTTTGGGAGGTGTGAGACATGTTTTGAACTAGGAAGTGAAAGAGTAAAGGTAGGCCAGTAGCTAGGATGAAGGAAATGGGGCGGGAATGTTTTGGACGAAATGAGGATGAAGGAAATGAGAAAGAGTGGAAGTGTGTTCTTGGTCCTTTGGGATCTGGGAACAAGAAGCTTTGAAACCAGATGCTATACCCGAACCCGGGGTCTTATCATGTATATAATTTGAGGGCGGGATTACAGAGGAATTGGTAGCAAACTAGAACAGCCTTTAAGCTTCAGGAATGCCAGATAGTCGATTGTCACAATTGTGATAATCGATTATTGGTTGTTTGGTTGAACTTCAGGAATGCCAGATAGTCAAAGACGCGTTCACCCGTCTCTAACCATTCGATAAAATCATCGGGGTCGTCCTTGCCATCAAAGGTTGGGATTTCAACCTTGAAACTAGCGGAGGACTTCTCTTGGTTGTCCTTTCGTATGGAAGAGGAAGGAGTTTCTGCATGGGCCTCTTCTTCTTGCTCGTCTTCACTTTCCTTGGGTGTCTCCGTCATCTTCAACTTCATTTTAGTGAGTTGAGCCACTTGTTTGGCCAAATACTCAACTTGAGCTTTGAGTTCGGCATTGGATGCAACCAGGTCTTCTTTGGTGATGTTTTTGGAGGTGTGAGACATGTTTTGAACTAGGAAGTGAAAGACTGAAGGTAGGGCAGTAGCTAGGATGAAGGAAATGGGGCGGGAATGTTTTGGACGAAATGAGGATGAAGGAAATGAGAAAGAGGGAAGTGTGTTCTTGGTCCTTTGGGATCTAGGAACAAGAAGCTCCGAAACCAGATGTTATACCCGAACCCGGGGTCTTATCATGTATATAATTTGAGGGTGGGATTACAGAGGAATTGGTAGCAAACTAGAACAGCCTTTAAACTTCAGGAATGCAAGATAGTCGATTGTCACAATTGTGATAATCGATTATTGGTTGTTTGGTTGAACTTCAGGAATGCCAGATAGTCAAAGATGTGTTCACCCGTCTCTAACCATTCGATAAAATCATCAGGGTCATCCTTGCCATCAAAGGTTGGGATTTCAACCTTGAAACTAGCGGAGGACTTCTCTTGGTTGTCCTTTCGTATGGAAAAGGAAGGAGTTTCTGCATGTAACGCCCCGAAACCTGGCCCAAAAGAATTAATTAAATTGTTAGAGCAATTGTTTACGAATTGGGCCCAAAAAGGGGTTGAAATTATAATTTGGATTTTAAGCCCAACTTTTATGTCATCTCGTAGGAAATATTTTTGTGATCGCGTCGGTTCAGACGGTTCGCGAATCGGAGTTATGGAACTCAAGTTATGACCATTTAATCATGTATTTTGGGTCCGAAGCCCAATCCTTTTTGGAATGGGACCATTAATTAAAACCTAAACCTATCTTCTTTCCTTCGGATCTCTGAGAACCCCACAACCGCACGATCTCCTTCTTCTTCCTTCTTCTTCTTTTTCTTCTTCTTTCTTCTTTCTTCTTCTTCGATTTCTTCTTCTTTCTTCTTCGCCGCCCAGCCAATCGCTCGTCGCCGGAAGCCAGAGCTCTTCCTGCCGCCATCACCGCCGTCGCCTTCCCCAGCTTCGCCGCTCCTCGTCGCCGTCCAATTGGAGCCAATCGCCGCTCCACGTCGCCGTCCAATTGGAGCAGCTAGCTGCCGGTCGTCGCCGTCCAACTGGAGCAGCCAGCCGCCGGCGTCGCCGCTCGTCGCCGCCGCCGAGTTGCAGCGCCGCCGCTGCTTCCTTCGCCTCCAGCCGCCGTCGCTCACCGCCGTGAGCCAGCGCCGGTCGCTCATCGCCGCCGCCGATTTGCAGCGCCGCCACGCCAAACGGAGGACGTCGCCAAATGCCGGACGCCGCTGTTTCGCCCTCGCCGGAATCGAGAGCCGCCGTCGCCCGAGCTTCCAGCCGCCGTCGCCCTTTGCACAGCGGCCACCCGCCACCGTCGAGTGCAGCGCCGCCAGTCGCTGCTCATCGCCGTTGAGCTGCCGCTCCGCCACTGTCGCCGGCGTCCGTCACCGTCGTCGCATCCAGCCGCTGCCCCGAGTTGATATCTCCGGTAGATTAACCTCCACGCCGGATTGATTGGTCAATTTTTGTACTTTGACTCGATTTGACCCGTTCGGTTGATTTCGTTGATTTGTCTTCCGTTCGAGCTATCGATTCGATTTCGACGTAATCCAGGTCCGTACTATGAAGTTAATAGCATTCAGAATCGATTTAATGGTTTGGATCGTTATATGTGTTTATGCTATAATTTGGCTAAATTGGTTAATTGAATTAAGTTGATTGTTTGAATTGAATTGTTGAGGATTGTGAATTGGCTGAACAGGTTTGACTTTGACTTGGGTTAGGTCATGTTTGACCTAGGCTTTGACTGGATATTCTGTTGTCGTAGGTTTGACCAAATGGTTAAATCCAAAACTTTAATGAATTAGTTAAGTTAATTAATTAATTCTAATCGGTGATTAAGGTCAATTGGTTTATTGTGTTGAACATAGAAACTGGCCATCGCTCGGGCGGCTGCAGGGCCTGGTCAGTGAGGTTAAGACGTGCGCACGAGGGTCTGCGATCTTGGGTTTGAGGCCATCGCCCGAGGGATCCTACCTCCACCAAATTGAGGCCATCTTCAGTATTACGGATTGAGTCTATCTCCGTCATAGGGAATAAATTTTAAGTGGTTTGACTTTGGTGAAAGTCTAAATTGGTTTGACCGGTGGTCAAAGAATTCATGAGAAACCCGTAACACCTAAATCGTTTTGAAAAGAAAGAAAATAAGTTGACTGTTGGTCAACCGTCTAAAGAACCGAATGTAAAGTTGAATTGATTTTTATTAAAAGGATAAACATATGCACGATCTTAATTGTTGAATTATTATGTTTATTCTTGTGCTACAATGGAGTACCACTCAGCGTCAATGCTGAGCG